TTAAAATTGATATTTTACATAAAAAAATTAAAAATTGATGTTTAAAAAAATAAAAATTAATATTTTTATTTAAAATCGATAAAATTAATATTTTTATTTGTACATTTTCTCCATAAACAAATGTAAAACAAAAAGGTTATGGGAAAACTACTTTTTCTGGAAATAAGAAATTAATCCGTGTGGAATTACACAAAGAAAAGCAACCTAAATTCCTTTTATATTTCAAAATCGAACCTAACTTGGTTGCATAAATAATAATAATAATAATAATGATAATAATAATGATAATAATAATGATAATAATAACACCATGTTCAAAGTTCATACAAATCCTTCAACTATAAAATCAAAGTATTCCAAGAAATGCGCATTTAAAGCCCTAACAATATGTCAGTTCATTTTGTAATAAATAATGTTGAAAAATGCACAGAAAGGTTCCATTTCCAGCGAGTCAATGACCTTAAGAATTAAGAACCCTTCTTCGCTTGCACTACAAGTCTACAATGGCAACATTTTCAGCATTCTAGAACATCAGATATAGCTCCAATGTTTTTTTCATTGAAAAAAGATAGCTTCAATGTTAATCCAACGTTAACTGAACAAATGGCTGACTTAAGGGCTTGTTTCCTGGTGCTTCTTGGGGTTATTATTTTTTATTTTTTGTAATATTTATGAGTAATAAGTTTAAATTTTTATTGGATGAAAAATTTTAAAATTGTTTTTAAATATTAGAAAAAATGAGTAAAAAAAATTTTAAAAAATTTAGATTTGAAAATTTTAAACTTTTATTGTTTGAAACGATTTTAAAATTAAAAAATATTGAAAAATATAAATTTTTTTTAAAAAAAATTTACATTTATGAAATATAAATAATACTAAAAAACTGAAACTCCAATAAGCAGAGTCAAACAGGCCGGACCTCCACCTTAGATTTTGTGTCATAAACTACAATAAATATATATTTTTAATAGATTTGTATTAAAAATATAAAAATTTAATTTTAACTTATTAATTATATAATTAAATTTATTTATTTATTTAATATTAATATTAAAAATATAAAAATTTA